AAACAAAACAAAAACAACGAAAATGTGCCCCAAAATCAGCCTGAAATCGTGTAACATTGCAGAAATCGGTGGATATGTTTTGTTTTAATTAATAAAATTAAGATTTATTTTTAAAAATTGCTATGTATTTTTTAACAAATCAAAATAACCTCATATTACTTACAAAATGTAATTGATTATTTCCATTCAATAAATATTGATTTCATAATGATTGTGTTTCTTTCAAGATCCAAAAATGCGTTTTATTGTTATAAACCACATTTCCAATTAATAATAACAGCCGTTCATGGTTCGAAACCCGTTGAACGGCCATAGGAACTGGTTAGTGTAACACCCGAAAACTTTTGTAAAACATCTAATACTTTTTTTTCATCTCAATTCTTGATAAATATAAACAATGTTAATTAATACAATATCAGTCAGATATTAACTTTAACAAAATATTAATATGGTTAGCTCGGTCTAAAGACACATTCAATAAAAATTTTTTAAAGGTTCCTTACTGCCAAATTTAGTGATGACGGTCAAAGGCTAGCCTAAAGTTAGCAATAATCATAGTGCTGTGAACATAGTAATAGTAAAATACATGTACTAAAAAAGAATAGAACTCTACAACAAACAATTTTTTTACATTACATTATAACTAGAGACCTATTCTATCAACTAATGAGGATATTTTTTTAAAAGGTAGGACAGAAAACGACTTAAATTTTGCACAAAATTTTAGACCAACAAAGAAAGAGTCTGAGAGAAAATGAATAGTAGCTGTTTACATTATTTGGAAAATTTATCATTATCAGCCATTAATATCATTGTTACTAAGTGTTGATGTAATAAATATGCGAGAACAAAAAATTTGGTCATCCTTTATAACTTCACTACAAGCAAGTTGTTTATTTTTTTGTTTCTAACTGTCTCATTTTTTTTACTACTATTAATTTCCTCTTTATATTTTCGTTGACTTTTTCAAATACAAACCAACAACACATTGGTTAATTATTTTAAATCAGTGAGTGAATGTGTGAAACATTCAGAAATAGCACTCAGTCTAATATAAGTATTCGGGGAATCAATGGTATGAAAGATTAATATGAGTTGTGATTACTTGTAAAAACTTGTGAATTAATAGTAGTGGATGAATAAGAAGTATAGAAGAGTACCAGTCTGAAAGCATTCGTGTTTGTTTGTATAGTTCATTCTCCTTATAACAGATCATTTGGCTTAGGAAAACATGCCCATTGTAGGGAGAATCTGCTCGTTATATAGCAATATCTGTTATAGAGTAAGTGAACTGTGATGTTTAGAGAAAAATTTTATTTTGTATATATAAATATTTAAGTATTTATATAAAAAATCTCATTTGATGGTGATTTTGCATCAGTGAATAAAAGGAACTTTATGGAAGCCTTTGAAGATTGTAAAAGGACCATTTTTGTTTATTTGTTTACAGTTACCCTTTACAGTCCAGCGTGCTTACACATTTGCCAAAGCTTTCTAGGTACAAGAAAGAGGCAAAAACCAAGGTAAATTCGTAGACTAATTAATTGACAAGCACCAATTTGCTTTCGATTAGTGGCCCCAAAGTTAAGCCATAATTATTAATTATTTTTTAATCCTAATTCATGATTACTGTTTTAGTTACATAAGTGGGTTTAGGACTCTGTACTTGGTTTGACTTGATAAACAAATTATTGATTTTAAAAGATGCGGATAAAATATTCTTAAAACCAGGGATGTTATCAGTCCTTTCGGGATCGGATTTTCCTCCATAACGGATTAAAATTTTGTCTTTTTTTACTATTGCATCTGAAAACCATTTCATTATGACCTATTACTATATTAATATAAATCAACGCTGTATATAACGGATTCACGTGATCTAAAAATAAAAAAATATGCAACCTCTACAAATTAATCTACCTACGATTATTTAAAATAAAACTTATGCTTATTTGAAATCTTAATAATAACAAATAACGATGATCCAATGTACTAACGTATATAAAATGTATAAATTGAATTTCTTGATTTAAATCCA